TGTTAGAGAAAACTTTCATATAACACAGTTACCACATAAATGCCCCTCCCTTCACACCTTAGAATGCCTCTGGCCATCTCTGTAGTTATGCCTGAGAGGTTTAATAAAGTACCATACATTTGGAAAAAATAACTTTATTGATATAAGCACTTCCTGGAGAATATTTTTTCACTATACAAAAAACTCATATTTGATTATTGTTTTCTCTATATCTGCCTATCTCTCTCACATACATTCTCAGTGTGTGTGCGCGTGTGTGTGTGTCCAGTGACTTCTGCATCTGTAGTAGCTAGAAATAACATATATGTCACATATACCCCCACCACACGCAGGCACACACACACACACACACACACCACACATATACACCTCTGCCACAGTCTTCCTTCAATTCTATTCTCGATTTCCAGCCTTGTCAGCCATCCTGATTTCCTCTTCTCTAAACTTCAAGGAAACTGTTAATGCGTATCTGAGAATGAAAATGTTGGGCATATAAAAAAACTGAAAGACAATACATATTGGCATAAAATGGTTTGCTTAAATCCAGAAAAGCCTTATTCTCTCTCATGCTCATTCCCTCTACATCTTTTACCTCCTTCTCTCTGTCTCTCTTTCTGTCCCTATCACATGTACACATAACATATGTGCACACACACACATATACAGAGAGAGAGAAAAAGAGAGAGAGAACAGAACTGGCTATAAAGAAAGCAGCATCTGAGGGCATCAAAGGAAACTTGAAGATTTTGTTTGCTTGGGATCAACATCATTATCCTGGCAAATACAAGCTCCAAGTGGAAGTGTTTTAGCCAGATACTGCTCCACCACTGTATGGCTAACTAAGCAGGAACATCAGCTTCAATGATGCCATGGAATTCAAGAGAATATTCAACCTGGAAAAATTCTAACCTCAAACAGCACCTCCCAAAAGATGACTACAGCTCCTGTAGGAAATCATTTAACTACAAATTCCAACTCCCCTTCACTCCTACAGCCTCAGTCATACATCGCAAAGGGCTGATCCTTGAATCGTGACAATCTGACCCACATCAGCAGCTCAGAGGCCAGATGGCAACACAATGCCTTTCCAGCCTACTGGGTAGGAAAAGGGAGGGACAACCAATTGAATGATTATAATTGAAATCCTATAATTTATTATTTGTCAATAACTTCTGCCTTGGGGGAGTTCTCTTCAATCCTTAGCAAATGCTGGCAGCCGCAATATGTAACCACAGACACCTAAAACACCTCTGAAACCATTTCATTATGTGGCAACAATGAAATGGAGAATAAGGTCTCTGTGGAGATAGAGAAGACATGCCACATCACAGAGTTCACTATTCAACAGATGGAAATTTTAAAGACTTAGGAGGGAAAATTCCTGTGAGATTCTGAGGATAAAAAGCTATCATGAAAGTGAGATCAGCTGGACTGGCAGGAAGTGTGACATAAAAAACCCAAGAACTATCCTCCTGTTTGCAACATAATGTGAGGTTGATAGTTCTGTTACCCCTGCAGTTATTAAACTGCACAGATCAAATAACCACCTGAACTGAGCTGTACTGAGTCAAGCAAAGAAATTCACTTCAATCATAGAAGTAACTCTCAGGTTGAAAGGGGCAACTATCAGACATCTACCCAATGTTCCTCTACTTAACTCCTCTCTAAATTATCCCTGTCTCATGTTCATCTCCCTGTAATTGATGCAACCTGATGTAACATAAAGAGGATTTGAAGTGAAAAACCCTGAGTTGGAGGCCTGGGTCTTGACTTTTTAATGTACCAGCCATACAACATTAGACCTTCCAGTCTTCCACTACAATATGAGCAGATTGAACTGGTTGATGCCAAGATTCCATCCAGTTCAAAATTCTCTAGGCAATAATAGGGAAGTCACTGTCTCCAAAAATAATTATTTGCATGTTTGGACAATTCTACTAAAAAGTCCTTACTTATATAAAGTCAAAACATGGTTTCTTATAGTTTCTACATATTTATCTGAGTTCTACCTGCCTTGGGATTATACAGTCCAAGTATAATCCCTCTTCTATATAACGTCCATTCATATAGCCAAAGACAGATATTGAGTCTCCCATCCATCTATCCATCCATCCATCCATCCCACTGAGTTCTGTTTGCCACTCATCTAGACAATCATTCGATCTACTTTACTCAGAACACATACCAATTTGTCCATATCCTTATTGAAAAATAGTCATCAGAACTGAACAAAGAGCTACAGAAACAATCTGCTGAACGCCGAGTGAAGAACATCACAACCTATTTTGTTCTAGCTAACGTGTTTCTTTCAAAGCAGCCTAATATTGCATACATTTTAGCTATGGCATCACTCTGCCACTGCCAGAATACTGCTTCTTTTACTTATGTCTTCTACCCTATCCTTGTAAAGTTAATTTGGAACTGGAGTCAGAATTTTACTTTTCTATCATATTAATTTATCAGGTTCGAGCCATTGGTGCAACATGCTAAAATCTTCTTGAATCCTCAGTCTATCCTAAAAATATTTGCCATCTAACCAAATTTTCACCTAAGTTATTGATAAAATATAATGAGCATAACATGGTCTGGAAAAAAGTCCTGGAGCAGACCACCAAACACTACCCTCCATATTTACATAATTCTGCAAGATTTGGGATCTTCTGGCCATTAAAAGGTCAGATCCAAGATTGCCTCATTCTTGACACTCTCTCGATTCTACCTTCTTCACTTACTTATAGTCCATAGTCTAGTCTTTCTGCTGATCCTGCAATGACTTCCACAGTTAAGTTCACCTAAGATGTGGGTACTTTGAGAAAAACCACTGTTTAAAACATTAGAAATATAAAGAAGGCTAACAGAAAGAGGACAAAAGTTCACACTCAGATCAATATGCCATGGTGGAAATAATGCGGGGGCTGGCGTCTGAATAACCTGAGATTAAATCTTAGTTCTGTAACTTACTTGCTTGGTGACCTTGAGTACCTTATCAGTATCAGTTCTCTCATCTCTAAAGTAGAGGTAATAATAATGACCTCACAGGGTTGTCCTGATCATTAAAATTAATACATGCAAAATATTAGCACATTCTTAGCACATAATAGATATACAATATAGATTACTATCATTATTACAGCATGGTAGAGCTAAAAATGCAATAACCACTGGCATAAAAAAATTAAATCCAAGAAGAAAAACAGAAAATGAAGATCCATGTTCTATAGGTGTTAACCGATACTCCACAAAACGAAGAATCAATGATGTAATAAGGTTAAGAATTAGGACATTAAAAACAGTTTTAAACACTCTGGCATATTTTTATCTCTTTGACTCTGAACAAGATTGGCACACTCTTGCATCTCTTATTTGATCATTTCCCAGGCATTGCTATAGGGCCCAATGACACTTAGTCAATGCTAGGGTGAGAATAAACAAAATTTGAGGCACCAGGGGGCAGGGGGAAGACATATAAATAAGTAATAAATATAAAATATCACCAGTGCTATTGAGAGGTAAATACAGAGAATACAAGAGAACAGTGATAAATCTGGAGATGTCAGATAAGGCTTTATGCAGGAGGTGATAATTCTGAAGCATCTTAAAAGATAAAGAGAATTTAAGGTTGAGGGTCTCTCAAATTATGGTAGTGGAGGGTAGCACACAAATATTTTAAATAGTAGTGGACCAATACAGGCTCATCCAAGGAATACTGATCACTCTAGAGTGACTTTTCCTTGAGATACAGGTAATGAGAGAGACAGCTGGAAAGATACAGATTAATGCCTATTGTAAAGAGGCTTGTATGTGTAAAGAAATTTGGAAATCTGCAGGCAAGAAGAAACCAGCACAGGGAATGACATACATCTGTAAGATGAATTAGCCAGCATAATAGGAGAAAGAAAGGCTAGTTAAAACACTTTTTTTTTAACCAATGCCCAACTGAAAGATGGTCAAGTCCAGAACTAAAATTAAAATTATAGCACTGGAGGTAGAGAATAGGCCCACATAACAAAATTCAAGTCTGAGTAGAATTGATGTGATGTGACATGAGTATGAGGGGTTAAGGAAAAGGAGGAATGAAAATAACTTTGTCTAGTGTGAGATACCCAGTGTGTGGGGACATCATTACCAATATATGGACTTCTGGAGGATAGTACTTTTTGGTAGGAGGCACAATGTAACTTCAGCTGTCAATAGGATGGATTGAGATAACCACAAGACATCCATATGGAGATGCAATCTGCTCAACTTAACAGTGTGTAGATCATAAGAGAGACCACGGATAGGAGGCCCCTGTACATTTGTGGCAATAAATGAGAAAACTCATGGTTTAAGAAGGGAGAGTATGTTGAACATGTCTCTCATGCCACAATGCAATAACCTTGAAAACAAAGTAAAATTACACTATTGATTCTTACCTAATAAACTCATGCTTCTAGTGATCACCACTTCTAACTCAATTGTTCACATTCTTGCTTTTCTTTGAAAAATTAAAATTAAATTTGCCTATCAATAATTTCTGGAAGATAGCATTCACCTCATGGCAAGTTCTCTCAGTACCCAGATGGGATTCATAGATTAAAAAGGAACATATTATAGATGCTTGTGATGTTGCTTATCATAAATTAAATTTCAAGTTCTATAAATGTATTAATATGTCCTACTCTTCTAGAGACAAGGATCAGGAAGTGTAGTTATCAATAGATATTTATCAAGCACCTATCAAGCCAAAGTGGAGTTACAAAAAAGTAGGTGTGGGCCCTGCACACAAAGAACCTGTATTAGCCAAAGGGACCCTTCCATAAAATTTCCCGTATGTAAACCGAAATTTGGAACTTGCTAAAACAAGTACAGATGAGTACGTGAGGAAGCTGGGAAGTAAACACATGTTGCTGGAGAAATAGAGGTGGAGTTATGGGTGGATCTAGGTTTGGTTAGGAATGAATCAGACCATCCCACAGACGTCCTCCCTGCATGGGCTGCTACAGTATAAAAAGGCGATTATCTCAGACTTCAGTATCCAGCAAGCTCCTTCAGGCTACATTATATTTGCTCTTTTGGTGAACAAGGTAAGAAGGAATACATTTAACTTTGCCTCCTTACTATTAAGCAAGGTGGAAATCTGAATGTGTGAGTACTATAAGGCTCTCCAAGTTTAGGGTTTTTCTCTTTCTTTTTAGTGGCACTGTCACTGAAAGGTTTATTTGTATACACATGGAAAATGAGGGCATAAATTTGCTTTCCATATAGCTGTTCAATATTCTTTGTATTGTTAGATTGTCCATTTATTCATTTATTTAACAACTATGTATTAACTACCTTCTATTTGGTCTTGGCTCTGATTATGCAGCAGGGAGCTACATAAACTTGCTAGCAGCTTACCTTTAGTAAGGGGAAATATTCAGTAAACAACAATAAATGAGTAAGATAATTTCAAATAATGGTAAGAATAATGAAGAATATAAAAGAGTGATGTAGTAGAGCAGGGGTATTCCATCTTTCGGCTTCCCTGGGCTACACTGGAAGAAGAATTGTCTTGGGCCACACATAAAATACACTAACACTAACAAAAGCTGATAAGTTTTTTTAAAAAAAAACAAAATCATAATGTTTAAGAACCTTTACAAATTTGTAAATTTGGGGCACATTGAAAACTGTCCTGGACCGCAGATTGGACAAGCTTGTAGTAAAGTGATGAGAGGGAGGAGGAGGATGCTTTAAATTTCATGGCCAGGGGAAGTCCTCTCTGGGGAATTCTCTTTTGAGTTGGGATCTTAGTAACAAAAGAAACTGGCCAAGGCAAAGCGCAAGATTCTAAGTAGGAGTAAATTTGTTTTAAAGAACAAAAAGAAGCTAGTGTGTCTTAGAACATACATAATTAAAAAGAGGACCAGTGGTATATGGTGATGTCAGAGAGCTAGACAGGAGTAGGCCATGTAAAAAGGGGCACAGTATAATTAAAACGGTACATGTTAGATTTTGACATGTACTTAAAAGGGTATTAAGCAAAAGGAGGAGTAAGATAATCTATGTTTTTAAAAGACCACTCTGGGCTGCTATGTGGAAAACAGGATTATAGGAAGGCAAGAGCAGGAACATGGAGAGAGACTGCTGTCATTTATGTGAAAGATGATGGAAATAATAGAAATAATGAGAAATAACCGTTGAAACCAAAATCTAGAAGTTATCCATGATTCCTGTTTTCTCATCACACCGATTCATCGCCAAGTCCAGTCAACTCTGCCTATAAACATGCTAATCTATCCATTTATGTCCCTCTCCACCATTATCATCCTAATCCAGGATACCCTTTTCTCCCAACACTATTATGTTATCTGAACATACCACAACTTTTAACCCACTTTCCTATGGATATATATTTGGGTCACTTCCATTTTGGGAGATATCATAAATAACAGGGCTATGGACATTTTTGTATATTACATTTGGTTACACACATGTACATATTTCTGTTGGGAATATTCTTAGGAGACAATTGCTAGGACTCAGATACTGTCAAACAATTTTCCAACATGCTTCTGGTTTATGTTGCCTCTAGCAGTATATTTTAAAAATCTCAATTTTCCACATTCTCACCAATATTTGATAGTGTCAAGGGCTGTTTTCTTTTCTATCTTTTTAAGAAAAAGATTTTTTTGGCCTCATACGTTACTTCAATCTGCATTTCCCTGGTGCATAGCAAGGCTGAGAACTTTTGATATGGTTATTGGCCACCTGGATATCCTTTTCTGTAAAGTTCCTAAAGTAGAGATTCATTTTTCTATTGGGTTAAATGTATTTTTTCCTATTGATTTATGGGAGTTACTTTTATATTCAGGGACAGATTCCTTTATTGGTTAAGTGTGTTTTGTATATCCTCCACTGTGTGGCTTGTCCTCCTCTCTTTTAATGGCATTTTTAAAAGACTAAACATTTCTAATTTTAATGCAGTAAAATTCATCAGTCTTTTTCTTAGTGATTCGTACTTTTTGAATTTTATTTACATATTCCCCCACCCCAAGGTCCTGAAGATATACTCCAATATTACCTTCTCTTATTGCTTATATGTAAAATCTACCTGGAAACTAATTTTTTTCCCAATTTGAAAATTCAATTAACCCAGCACCATTTATTCAAAAGGCTATTCTTTCCCTGCTAACAGACACTACCATCTTTGGCATTAACCAAATATCCAGAGTGATATAAGACTGATTTTGTACTATTATCTTTTATCATTCCATTTGTTTAGCTTTGCACCAACGCCATACAGTCTTCTTTTATAACACACCTTGCTATCTGGTATGTCTTCCAACTTAGTCTTCTTCAAGATTGTCTTACCACAGCTGTAAAAGGGCACCAGGCCAAAAAAAAAAAAATGGGCAATTTTATCGAAGGAAGTAAAACTCTAAGCATTTTCTTAATGTAGTTGGTAAAGAGAAATTTCTCATGACCATCTTCTGTTCTTAAAGATAAATTACTTAGGGAAGAATGTAGGTTCAAAGTGTGGGAAATGATTATAATAATATGACCTAGAAAAAAATATACAAAAAAGCACATTTTCATTTCTTCTTTCTAGGTTCACATATATTGCCAAAATATGTCCACTCTCCTGGAAAACATCTTTGGCATCATTAACCTTTTCAAGCAATATTCAAAAAAAGATAAAAACACTGAAACACTGAGCAAAAAAGAGCTGAAGGAACTTCTGGATAAGGAGTTTCGGTCAATCCTGAAGGTAAGAGTTTCTGACAAGACCAAAGGATAGAGCATTTCTGTTTCTCTTCAATAATCTAAGCAAAGGTTATTTTGAGCTGTGTATAAACTACTTCTCTTAAAATAGGAACAGAATTAGTCTTGACTCAAAAAACAGGAAATTTATTTTCCTTTCCTATACCTAAATATATATTATAAACAGACATGCTAAGTGAAAAAAAAAATGAATATTTACTTTAAAAATTAATTTAAACTAGACCTTAGTATTTGGCATGTATAATATTCTCCCAAACATCAACATTATTAAGAGGGTATATATTAAAGAAAAATAAATAATGAATTATATATACCTCTGACTTTTAATTAAGTAAACAAGGCACCTATGCCATCACATTTTAATACCTTACTAGCTTTTAAAACATCTTTGTTCATATCTAACAGCGGAGTGAGAATGAGAGGAAAAAGATTTAAAAGAAAAACAAAAAGACTTCATCCTATTTTTAGATATTCAGAGGTCACATTTCCTAAATTAACATGGAATTAACGGCCTGATGCTGTAACTGTCTGATGCAACCTCCCTCTGTGAATTCCCTCTGTACAGAATCCAGATGACCCAGATACAGTTGAGGTCTTCATGGACAACCTGGATATAGATCACAACAAAAAAATTGACTTCACTGAGTTTCTTCTGATGATATTCAAGTTGGCTAAAGCATACTATGAGTTGAACAGAAAACAGAATTTATCGACATCGGGACACAAGCACAAAAGGCACAGTCATCATCATAAACATGAAGATGACAAAGAGGAAGAAAAAAAAGGAAAGAAAATCAGACCCTCAAGTCTGGAAAGAAGAAACAACAGAGAAGAAAACAAGGAAAGATCCAAGAGCCCAAGAGAAAGAGGGAGAAAAAGACATGAATCACTGCCTGAGAAAAGAGGAAGAAAAGAATATGCACCTACTGAGAGAGAAGAAAAATATAGAAAACAAGACCATGAGTCAAGTAATACGAAGAAAAACAAGACTGAAAATACTGGAGTGGAAGACAATGAAGAGAAACTAAGCGCAAGTCCCTACGAAAGAGAAGAGGAAGAAGAATTTCAATATGAAAATACAGGAAGAATGATAGAAAAATGGAGAGAACCAAGAGATACTGCCACATATTACACAATACAGAATGAAGTGTATGATGCAAATGATAACAAAATAGAAAAAAACAAAAAATTAAAGGGAGTAAATACATCTTATGATCAATCATCATCTCAAAGAGAAAGATCTGGATATGCAAATTCGAGCCAGAAATCATCAGGGGGCTCCAGGGCCAGCAGGCGCCGGGGATCCAGTGTTAGCCAGGAGAGTGACAGTGAGGGACACTCAGAAGACTCCGAGAGGCGGTCTGGGTCTGGTTCCAGACACCATCACGGGTCCGCTTGGGAGCAGTCGAGAGACGGCTCCAGGCACCGCGGGTCCCATCACGGAGACGCAGCCGGTCACGGGCACTCGGCAGAAAGATCCAGACAATCAGGCGCTCGTCACGGCAGACACTTCCTCTCGTGGATGGGCTGCGTCTTCCCAGGAGCACGCAGCATCAAGTCCAGGAGGAAGACACGGATCCCGCCACGAGCATGCAAGAGACGGCTCCAGAAACTCAGCGTCCCATGAGGGTCAGGACACCGCTGGTGGACAGTCGGGGTCAAGCAGAGGAGGAAGGCAGGGATCCCACCACGAGCAGTCGGGAGACAGCTCCGGACACTCAGGGTCCCATCACCGCCAGACGGCTTCCCAGGGCTGGTCTGATGCTTCCCGTGGGCAGTCTGGATCCAGAAGTGCAAGCCGACAAACACGTAGCCAGGAACAGTCAGGAGACGGCCCCAGGCACTCAGGCTCGCATCACCACGAGGCTTCAACCTGGGCAGACAGCTCCGGACACTCACAGTCGGGCCAGGGACAATCAGCAGGCTCCAGGGCCAGCAGGCGCCGGGGATCCAGCGTTAGCCAGGAGAGTGACAGCGAGGGACACTCAGAAGACTCCGAGAGGCGGTCTGGGTCTGGTTCCAGACACCATCACGGGTCCGCTTGGGAGCAGTCGAGAGACGGCTCCAGGCACCGCGGGTCCCATCACGGAGACGCAGCCGGTCACGGGCACTCGGCAGAAAGATCCAGACAATCAGGCGCTCGTCAGGCAGACACTTCCTCTCGTGGATGGGCTGCGTCTTCCCAGGAGCACGCAGCATCAAGTCCAGGAGGAAGACACGGATCCCGTCACGAGCATGCAAGAGACGGCTCCAGGCACTCAGCGTCCCATGAGGGCCAGGACACTGCTGGTGGACAGTCGGGGTCAAGCAGAGGAGGAAGGCAGGGATCCCACCACGAGCAGTCGGGAGACAGCTCCGGACACTCAGGGTCCCATCACCGCCAGACGGCTTCCCAGGGCTGGTCTGATGCTTCCCGTGGGCAGTCTGGATCCAGAAGTGCAAGCCGACAAACACGTAGCCAGGAACAGTCAGGAGACGGCCCCAGGCACTCAGGCTCGCATCACCACGAGGCTTCAACCTGGGCAGACAGCTCCGGACACTCACAGTCGGGCCAGGGACAATCAGCAGGCTCCAGGGCCAGCAGGCGCCGGGGATCCAGGGTTAGCCAGGAGAGTGACAGCGAGGAACACTCAGAAGACTCCGAGAGGCGGTCTTGGTCTGGTTCCAGACACCATCACGGGTCCGCTTGGGAGCAGTCGAGAGACGGCTCCAGGCACCGCGGGTCCCATCACGGAGACGCAGCCGGTCACGGGCACTCGGCAGAAAGATCCGGACAATCAGGCGCTCGTCACGCAGACACTTCCTCTCGTGGATGGGCTGCGTCTTCCCAGGAGCACGCAGCATCAAGTCCAGGAGGAAGACACGGATCCCGCCACGAGCATGCAAGAGACGGCTCCAGGAACTCAGCGTCCCATGAGGGCCAGGACACTGCTGGTGGACAGTCGGGGTCAAGCAGAGGAGGAAGGCAGGGATCCCACCACGAGCAGTCGGGAGACAGCTCTGGACACTCAGGGTCCCATCACCGCCACACAGCTTCCCAGGGCTGGTCTGATGCTTCCCGTGGGCAGTCTGGATCCAGAAGTGCAAGCCGACAAACACGTAGCCAGGAACAGTCAGGAGACGGCCCCAGGCACTCAGGCTCGCATCACCACGAGGCTTCAACCTGGGCAGACAGCTCCGGACACTCACAGTCGGGCCAGGGACAATCAGCAGGCTCCCGGGCCAGCAGGCGCCAGGAATCCAGCGTTAGCCAGGAGAGTGACAGCGAGGGACACTCAGAAGACTCCGAGAGGCGGTCTGGGTCTGGTTCCAGATACCATCACGAGTCGGCTTGGGAGCAGTCGAGAGACGGCTCCAGGCACCGCGGGTCCCATCACGGAGACGCAGCCGGTCACGGGCACTCGGCAGAAAGATCCGGACAATCAGGCGCTCGTCACGCAGACACTTCCTCTCGTGGATGGGCTGCGTCTTCCCAGGAGCACGCAGCATCAAGTCCAGGAGGAAGACATGGATCCCGCCACGAGCATGCAACAGATGGCTCCAGGAACTCAGCATACCATGAGGGCCAGGACACCGCTGGTGGACAGTCGGGGTCAAGCAGAGGAGGAAGGCAGGGATCCCACCACGAGCAGTCGGGAGACAGCTCCGGACACTCAGGGTCCCATCACCGCCAGACGGCTTCCCAGGGCTGGTCTGATGCTTCCCGTGGGCAGTCTGGATCCAGAAGTGCAAGCCGACAAACACGTAGCCAGGAACAGTCAGGAGACGGCCCCAGGCACTCAGGCTCGCATCACCACGAGGCTTCAACCTGGGCAGACAGCTCCGGACACTCACAGTCGGGCCAGGGACAATCAGCAGGCTCCAGGGCCAGCAGGCGCCGGGGATCCAGCGTTAGCCAGGAGAGTGACAGCGAGGGACACTCAGAAGACTCCGAGAGGCGGTCTGGGTCTGGTTCCAGACACCATCACGGGTCCGCTTGGGAGCAGTCGAGAGACGGCTCCAGGCACCGCGGGTCCCATCACGGAGACGCAGCCGGTCACGGGCACTCGGCAGAAAGATCCAGACAATCAGGCGCTCGTCAGGCAGACACTTCCTCTCGTGGATGGGCTGCGTCTTCCCAGGAGCACGCAGCATCAAGTCCAGGAGGAAGACACGGATCCCGCCACGAGCATGCAAGAGACGGCTCCAGGCACTCAGCGTCCCATGAGGGCCAGGACACTGCTGGTGGACAGTCGGGGTCAAGCAGAGGAGGAAGGCAGGGATCCCACCACGAGCAGTCGGGAGACAGCTCCGGACACTCAGGGTCCCATCACCGCCAGACGGCTTCCCAGGGCTGGTCTGATGCTTCCCGTGGGCAGTCTGGATCCAGAAGTGCAAGCCGACAAACACGTAGCCAGGAACAGTCAGGAGACGGCCCCAGGCACTCAGGCTCGCATCACCACGAGGCTTCAACCTGGGCAGACAGCTCCGGACACTCACAGTCGGGCCAGGGACAATCAGCAGGCTCCCGGGCCAGCAGGCGCCAGGGATCCAGCGTTAGCCAGGAGAGTGACAGCGAGGAACACTCAGAAGACTCCGAGAGGCGGTCTGGGTCTGGTTCCAGACTACCATCACGGGTCCGCTTGGGAGCAGTCGAGAGACGGCTCCAGGCACCGCGGGTCCCATCACGGAGACGCAGCCGGTCACGGGCACTCGGCAGAAAGATCCGGACAATCAGGCGCTCGTCACGCAGACACTTCCTCTCGTGGATGGGCTGCGTCTTCCCAGGAGCACGCAGCATCAAGTCCAGGAGGAAGACATGGATCCCGCCACGAGCATGCAAGAGACTGGCTCCAGGAACTCAGCATACCATGAGGGCCAGGACACCGCTGGTGGACAGTCGGGGTCAAGCAGAGGAGGAAGGCAGGGATCCCACCACGAGCAGTCGGGAGACAGCTCCGGACACTCAGGGTCCCATCACCGCCAGACGGCTTCCCAGGGCTGGTCTGATGCTTCCCGTGGGCAGTCTGGATCCAGAAGTGCAAGCCGACAAACACGTAGCCAGGAACAGTCAGGAGACGGCCCCAGGCACTCAGGCTCGCATCACCACGAGGCTTCAACCTGGGCAGACAGCTCCGGACACTCACAGTCGGGCCAGGGACAATCAGCAGGCTCCAGGGCCAGCAGGCGCCGGGGATCCAGCGTTAGCCAGGAGAGTGACAGCGAGGGACACTCAGAAGACTCCGAGAGGCGGTCTGGGTCTGGTTCCAGACACCATCACGGGTCCGCTTGGGAGCAGTCGAGAGACGGCTCCAGGCACCGCGGGTCCCATCACGGAGACGCAGCCGGTCACGGGCACTCGGCAGAAAGATCCGGACAATCAGGCGCTCGTCACGCAGACACTTCCTCTCGTGGATGGGCTGCGTCTTCCCAGGAGCACGCAGCATCAAGTCCAGGAGGAAGACATGGATCCCGCCACGAGCATGCAACAGATGCCTCCAGGAACTCAGCATACCATGAGGGCCAGGACACCGCTGGTGGACAGTCGGGGTCAAGCAGAGGAGGAAGGCAGGGATCCCACTACGAGCAGTCGGGAGACAGCTCCGGACACTCAGGGTCCCATCACCGCCAGACGGCTTCCCAGGGCTGGTCTGATGCTTCCCGTGGGCAGTCTGGATCCAGAAGTGCAAGCCGACAAACACGTAGCCAGGAACAGTCAGGAGACGGCCCCAGGCACTCAGGCTCGCATCACCACGAGGCTTCAACCTGGGCAGACAGCTCCGGACACTCACAGTCGGGCCAGGGACAATCAGCAGGCTCCAGGGCCAGCAGGCGCCGGGGATCCAGCGTTAGCCAGGAGAGTGACAGCGAGAGGACACTCAGAAGACTCCGAGAGGCGGTCTGGGTCTGGTTCCAGACACCATCACGGGTCCGCTTGGGAGCAGTCGAGAGACGGCTCCAGGCACCGCGGGTCCCATCATGGAGACGCAGCCGGTCACGGGCACTCGGCAGAAAGATCCAGACAATCAGGCGCTCGTCACGCAGACACTTCCTCTCGTGGATGGGCTGCGTCTTCCCAGGAGCACGCAGCATCAAGTCCAGGAGGAAGACATGGATCCCGTCACGAGCATGCAAGAGACGGCTCCAGGCACTCAGCATCCCATGAGGGCCAGGACACCGCTGGTGGACAGTCGGGGTCAAGCAGAGGAGGAAGGCAGGGATCCCACCACGAGCAGTCGGGAGACAGCTCCGGACACTCAGGGTCCCATCACCGCCAGACGGCTTCCCAGGGCTGGTCTGATGCTTCCCGTGGGCAGTCTGGATCCAGAAGTGCAAGCCGACAAACACGTAGCCAGGAACAGTCAGGAGACGGCCCCAGGCACTCAGGCTCGCATCACCACGAGGCTTCAACCTGGGCAGACAGCTCCGGACACTCACAGTCGGGCCAGGGACAATCAGCAGGCTCCAGGGCCAGCAGGCGCCAGGGGATCCAGCGTTAGCCAGGAGAGTGACAGCGAGGGACACTCAGAAGACTCCGAGAGGCGGTCTGGGTCTGGTTCCAGACACCATCACGGATCGGCTTGGGAGCAGTCGAGAGACGGCTCCAGGCACCGCGGGTCCCATCACGGAGACGCAGCCGGTCACGGGCACTCGGCAGAAAGATCCAGGACAATCAGGCGCTCGTCACGCAGACACTTCCTCTCGTGGATGGGCTGCGTCTTCCCAGGAGCACGCAGCATCAAGTCCAGGAGGAAGACACGGATCCCACCACGAGCATGCAAGAGATGGCTCCAGGAACTCAGCATACCATGAGGGCCAGGACACCGCTGGTGGACAGTCGGGGTCAAGCAGAGGAGGAAGGCAGGGATCCCACCACGAGCAGTCGGGAGACAGCTCCGGACACTCAGGGTCCCATCACCGCCACACAGCTTCCCAGGGCTGGTCTGATGCTTCCCGTGGGCAGTCTGGATCCAGAAGTGCAAGCCGACAAACACGTAGCCAGGAACAGTCAGGAGACGGCCCCAGGCACTCAGGCTCGCATCACCACGAGGCTTCAACCTGGGCAGACAGCTCCGGACACTCACAGTCGGGCCAGGGACAATCAGCAGGCTCCAGGGCCAGCAGGCGCCAGGGATCCAGCGTTAGCCAGGAGAGTGACAGCGAGGGACACTCAGAAGACTCCGAGAGGCGGTCTGGGTCTGGTTCCAGATACCATCACGAGTCGGCTTGGGAGCAGTCGAGAGACGGCTCCAGGCACCGCGGGTCCCATCACGGAGACGCAGCCGGTCACGGGCACTCGGCAGAAAGATCCAGACAATCAGGCGCTCGTCACGCAGACACTTCCTCTCGTGGATGGGCTGCGTCTTCCCAGGAGCACGCAGCATCAAGTCCAGGAGGAAGACATGGATCCCGCCACGAGCATGCAACAGATGGCTCCAGGAACTCAGCATACCATGAGGGCCAGGACACCGCTGGTGGACAGTCGGGGTCAAGCAGAGGAGGAAGGCAGGGATCCCACCACGAGCAGTCGGGAGACAGCTCCGGACACTCAGGGTCCCATCACCGCCAGACGGCTTCCCAGGGCTGGTCTGATGCTTCCCGTGGGCAGTCTGGATCCAGAAGTGCAAGCCGACAAACACGTAGCCAGGAACAGTCAGGAGACGGCCCCAGGCACTCAGGCTCGCATCACCACGAGGCTTCAACCTGGGCAGACAGCTCCGGACACTCACAGTCGGGCCAGGGACAATCAGCAGGCTCCCGGGCCAGCAGGCGCCGGGGATCCAGTGTTAGCCAGGAGAGTGACAGCGAGGGACACTCAGAAGACTCCGAGAGGCGGTCTGGGTCTGGTTCCAGATACAATCACGAGTCGGCTTGGGAGCAGTCGAGAGACGGCTCCAGGCACCGCGGGTCCCATCACGGAGACGCAGCCGGTCACGGGCACTCGGCAGAAAGATCCAGACAATCAGGCGCTCGTCACGCAGACACTTCCTCTCGTGGATGGGCTGCGTCTTCCCAGGAGCACGCAGCATCAAGTCCAGGAGGAAGACATGGATCCCGTCACGAGCATGCAAGAGACGGCTCCAGGCACTCAGCGTCCCATGAGGGCCAGGACACTGCTGGTGGACAGTCGGGGTCAAGCAGAGGAGGAAGGCAGGGATCCCACCACGAGCAGTCGGGAGACAGCTCCGGACACTCAGGGTCCCATCACCGCCAGACGGCTTCCCAGGGCTGGTCTGATGCTTCCCGTGGGCAGTCTGGATCCAGAAGTGCAAGCCGACAAACACGTAGCCAGGAACAGTCAGGAGACGGCCCCAGGCACTCAGGCTCGCATCACCACGAGGCTTCAACATGGGCAGACAGCTCCGGACACTCACAGTCGGGCCAGGGACAATCAGCAGGCTCCAGGGCCAGCAGGCGCCGGGGATCCAGCGTTAGCCAGGAGAGTGACAGCGAGGAACACTCAGAAGACTCCGAGAGGCGGTCTGGGTCTGGTTCCAGACACCATCACGGGTCCGCTTGGGAGCAGTCGAGAGACGGCTCCAGGCACCGCGGGTCCCATCATGGAGACGCAGCCGGTCACGGGCACTCGGCAGAAAGATCCGGACAATCAGGCGCTCGTCACGCAGACACTTCCTCTCGTGGATGGGCTGCGTCTTCCCAGGAGCACGCAGCATCAAGTCCAGGAGGAAGACACGGATCCCGCCACGAGCACTCAGCAGACAGCTCTGGACACTCAAGCAGCGGCCGCGGGAAATTCTCATCTGCAGTCCACCACCACGGACACTCGGAGTCCAGCGGTAGTGAAGCCAGTGACAGCCAGGCACATTCAGAAGACTCAGACTCACAGTCAGTGTCAGGCCAAAGACAGGCAGGCCACAGTCAGCGGAGCCACCATGAGGCCGCTCGTGGCCGGTCAGGGGAAAGGTCTGGACGTTCAGGCCCTTTCCTGTACCAGGTGACCACTCATGAACAGTCTGAGTCCGCCCACGGACACTCCGGGTCCGGCACTGGAGGAAGACAAGGATCCCGCCACGAGCATGCAAGAGACGGCTCCAGACATGAGGGTCAGGACACCGCTTGTGGACAGTCAGGGTCAAGCAGAGGAGGAAGGCAGGAATCCCACCACGAACAGTCAGGAGACAACTCCGGACACTCAGGGTCCCATCACCGCCACACGGCTTCCCAGGGCTGGTCTGATGCTTCCCGTGGGCAGTCTGGATCCAGAAGTGCAAGCCGACAAACACCTAGCCAGGAACAGTCAGCAGACGGCCCCAGGCACTCAGGCTCGCATCACCACGAGGCTTCAACCCGGGCAGACAGCTCCAGACACTCACAGTCAGGCCAGGGACAATCAGCAGGCTCCAGGGCCAGTAGGCGCTGGGAATCCAGCGTTAGCCAGGAGAGTGACAGCGAGGGACACTCAGAAGACTCTGAGAGGCGGTCTGGGTCTGGTTCCAGACACCATCATGGGTCCGCTCGGGAGCAGTCGAGAAATGGCTCTAGGCACTCCGAGTTCCAAGAGGCCGATAGAGCTGGTAAAGGGCACTCTTCCTCTGTACCGTCCGACTCTAGTACCAGCAAGGAACATGCTCACTCTAGCAGTCTTTCACAGGATTCTGAATATTTGTCACGAATACAGTCACGTGGCAATGATACTTCTTGTTCTCATAAGTTGCACTCTGATAGTACTGAAAGGCATGGAGGTCAATCAGGTTTAGTTTGGAGACATGGCAGCTATGGCAGTGCAGATTATGATTATGGTCAAGCTGGGTTTAGTCACTCTCAGGATGGAAGTGTTAGTTACAATTCCAACCCTGAGGTTTTTAAGGAAAGATACAAAATCAAAAAAGCAAGGTCATTTGTTGAAGATCATCCAAGGTTTTATGCAACGTATATTAACAGGTACCCAGGTTTATATGGGCGTTCAACTGATATGTCAAAGCAGCTGGGATTTAGTCAGTCACAGAGATACTATTTCTATGAGTAAGAAACAAATATCAAAAGAATTTGTCCAAGAATAGAAGAACCAAGCAAAAACCCTTTCAATCTAGACACTTCATAATACTTTCAGGGAGGTTATTTTTTCCTGTCAATCTGTTTAAAATATACTACAGTATTTCATTGACTTGGTGGTAGTTTATTTTTAGTATGTATTCTTTAAGCTTTATATTTTTGAAGTTTTAAATTTAAGGAATCAGTAGTATGGAGAGCTAACTTTAGAAAAGTAGGAGTATTTTAGGAGATTGGGAGTCAAGTAATATTTCATGTTTTTGAGAGTTTAAGTTTTAGATATTCTCCAAATTTCTAAATCAATGTTTTCCAGAAATATTGAAGACGCTAGAAATATAAAACTATTCTTTTGCATACCAAAGTGTGTATATCAACATTAGGGCTTAGGACATCTTCCTCTATTCTTTTTCTATTGGAATTCTATTATTCTGTATTCAAAAAAATAATCTTGGACATAATTGTTATTTTATTAAACTGCATTAAAATTAGAAATAAACTATTAATCATATAATACTGTTTGTCTCTTGTATGCTTATTTCTCATAAACCCAAGTGACATACTTCCCCATAACCAGAATTAGTTGTCTTCTATACCATTGTAAAGCTATATGACCATAGAGCAGATACAGTACATTCAAAATAGTGAGTAATAAATAATAAAATATTAACTTTAGTCAGACTATATTTTTCTTCAACATAATCATTGTCCACCAATCAGAGTCAGGAAAAAAACATGCTTTGCTTAATCACGATTATTACTATTATTAATATGAAATCATCAACTTAGGTGGCTATTAAGCCATATCAAATAAAGATCAGGTAATAAGAATTACTGAACATTGTTCCTTCTGCCAAAGACACTAGGAGATGCTTTTCAATGGAGACTAGTTGGGGCAGAGAACTTGTGCTGAAATATCCTGGCAAAGCAAAAGGAATTAAAAAGAAGTGTCCTCCTGGCATAAAAGAAAAATACATGTATTTTTATGCTTTAAGTAAGTAGATGCAGAGGCGGAAAAAGGAATAGTAAAAATATGAATGAAGTTTGACCATTAGCTGGAATATGTTGCTGTAAGAATGATACCCAAATTTTTATTCCCATAATATCAGATTAGAAGTGATATGTAGGTCAGTGTGCACATTTTGTAGATGAGTCTATTATGCAAATAATCCACACCAAAGTAGCACTTAGATATAAAGTTGACAAATCTGTATTTTGTAATTTTATTAAAGCACTTCCAAAAAACCGTTTTTATTGAACTTACACTTCAATAAACCAAGATAAAGTGAAATTGATTGTCAATGTTTCAATAATTCCCAATACACGCAGGGACTGAATTTAAAAAAAAATTCATTTTTCTAAGTAGCCTTAAACAATATGTCTATAATTTTTCTCTACGTGCCACTTGAAGATGGCATTTTCCTCCCACCAGTGTCATGCTTCCCTGCTTGAAATGTTGCCCCAAATGCCCCAATAAAGCTGCAAACTCCATAAGGTATCATATCTTCAGGACTCATTGCACTGCCACAAACACACATAGGGAGGATGCCTTTGTCCATTTCTCTGATACACTTTGCCACCTTGTCCCCAATCTCACCACCAGCTTATGCAGCTCCCTCCTGTAGCTCCTGTGTAAAGGAGCTAGGCATAAATAACAGGCTAAGGGGAAAAAAAGTTATAATGACTAGTCTAACTATCATAGGGGTACTGAGGAAGGACACACAGATGTTAAAATAGTTTTAGTGATATGTGTGGACTATGACAGCTGAATTCTCAAGATTTCTGAAGAACTCATAAACAGCTGAAACTGTTTTCTTTCATATCCCTGCCCAGTCAAGGATAAAATTACCAGACACTCCTTTTTGTTCTTTGAAAGGAAATCAGTTTACCTAAAAAGATGCCAACAACATTTACTTGAAAGATCAATTTTTCTCTGTCCTCTCTCCTTCCTTCATAAAATTTGTTTTTTACCTTTTTTCTTAACTTGGTCAGCCAACTCTCTTATATATAAATCAATAATTTTTCTGCAAATAACTACATGATTCTAATTTTTCCCTTGGGATAATCTTTTTTAAAATTTTTGTGGGTACATATTAGGTATACATATATATTTGAAATACATGAGATATTTTGAAACAGGCGTAAAATGTATGATAATCGCATCAAAATAAATGAGGTATCCATCACCTCAAGCATTTATCATTTATTTGTGTTACATTCCTCCCGGCCTCTGGTAACCATCATTCTACTTTGTATCTCCATGAGTTCAATTGTTTTAATTTTTAGATCTCACAAATGTATAAGAACATGTGAAAATTGTCTTTTTCTGCCTGACTTATTTTATTTAATACGATGTCCTCCAATGCCATCTATGTAACTGCAAATGACAGGATTATTTTCTATCACTCAATTGCACGTAAGTACATATTCTTTATCCATTCGTCTGCTAATGAACACTTAGGTTGCTTCCAAATTTGGCTATTGTGAATACTGCTGCAATAAACATGGGAAGGCAGATATCTCTTCAATATACTGACTTCCTTTATTTTGGGTATATACCTAGCAGAGGGATTGCTGGATCATATAGTAGCTCTATTTTTAGGTTTATGAGGAAACTTCAACCACAGTAGCTATAATCTACATTCCAACCAACAATGTACTACTGTTCCCTCTTCTCTATATCCTTGCCTTTTGTTTCTTATTTCCAGCTTTGGATAAAAGCTATTTTAATTCAGTAAGATAACATCTTGTTGTATTTTTGATTTGCATTTGATTTGCATCTGATGATCAATGATGGTAAGCACCTTTTCATATACCTGTTTGTCATTTGTATGTCTTCTTTTGAGAAATGCCTGTTCAGATCTTTTGCCCGTATTTTAACTATTAGGTTTTTTTTTCCTATTGAGTTGCTGAGCTGCTTACATATTCTAGTTATTAATCCTTTATCAGATGGAGAGTTTGCAAATATTTTGTCCCATTCAGTGGGTTGTCTCTTCACTTTGTTGATTGGTTCCTTCATGGTGCAGAAGCTTTTTAACTTGATGTGATCCCATGTGTCCACTTTTGCTTTGGTCGCTTGTGCTTATGGTATTACTTGAGAAATCTTTGCCCAGAAATCTTTCAAAATGTCCTCGACAGTTTCCCCAATGTATTCTTTGAGTAGTTTCATAGTTGTGGGTCTTAAAGTGTTTAATCTATTTTTTATTTTTGTTATGTGGTGAGAGATGAGGGTCTAATTGTATTTTTCTGTATACGGATATCCAATTTTCCCAGCATCATTTATTGAAGAGACTCTCTTTTCCCCAGTGTATGTTCTTGGCACCTTTGTTAAAAATGAGTTCAATGTGGATATATACTTTTATTTCCAAGTTCTCCCTTCTGTTCTATTGATCTATGTTGCCGTTTTTATGCCAGTACCATGCTCTTTTTGTTACAATAGCTCTATAGTATAATTTTAAGTCATGTAATATGACTCTTCCAGTTTTGTCCTTTCTGTTCAGGATAAATTTGGCTATTCTGGGTCTTGTGTGGTTCCATATAAATTTTAGGATTTTTTCTATTTCTGTGAAGAATGTCATTGGTATTTTGAGAGAGATCACAATGAATCTGTAGATTGCTTTGGGTGATATGGACATTTTAACAAAATTTCTTCTTCCAGTCCATAAACGTGAAATATGTTTCCATTTGTGTCCTCTTCCATTTTTTCATTAATGTTTTATAGTTTTCATTGTAGGAATCTTTCACTTCTTTGTTTCTAGGTATATTTTATTTACATTTTTTTTTCTCATTCTGTCACTCAGGCTGGAGTGCAGTTGCCCAATCTCAGCTCACTGCAGCTTCCACCTCTTGAATTCAAGTAATTCTCCTGCCTCAGCCTCCAGAGTAGCTGGGATTACAGGCACGTGCCACCACATCCAGCTAATTTTAAAATTTTTAGTAGAGATGAGGAGTTTTCCCATGTTGGCCAGTCTGGTCTCAAACTCCTGACTTCAGGAGATCTGCCCAATTCAGCCTTCCAAAGTGCTAGGATTACAGGTGTGAGCCACCATACTAGGTTTTATTTGTAACTATTACAAATAAAATTAGTTTTTAAAATTATACTTTAAGTTCTAGGGTACACGTGCAGAACGTGGGGGTTACACAGGTATACATGTACCATAGTGGTATGCTGCACCCATCAACCCATCATCTAGGTATGCATTAAGCCCTGTATGCATTAGGTATTTCTCCTAATGCTATCCCTCCCTCCCCACCTCTGGACAGGCCACTGTGTGCGATATTCCTCTCCCTGTGTCCATGTGTTCTCATTGTTCAATTCCCGCTTATGAGTGAGAACATGTGGTGTTTGGTTTCTGTTCCTGTGTTAGTTTGGTGAGAGTGATGGTTTCCAGCTTCATCCATGTCCCTGCAAAGGACATGAACTTTTTTTATGGCTGCATAGTATTCCATGGTGCATATGTGCCACATGTTTTTAATCCAGTCTATCATTGATGGGCATTTGGGTTGGTTCCAAATCTTTACTATAATAAATAGTGCTGCAATAAACATAAGTGTGAATGTGTCTTTATAGGAGAATGATTTAGAATCTTTTGGGTAAATACTCAGTAATGGGATTGCTAGGTCAAATGCTATTTCTGGCTCTAGATCCTTGAGGAATCACCACACTGTCTTCCACAATGATTGAACTAATACACACTCTCACCAACAGTGTAAAGGCATTCCTACTTCTCCACATTCTATCTAGCATCTGTTACTTCCTTACTTTTTAATGATCACAATTCTAAGTGGCATGAGATGATATCTCATTTTGGTTTTGATTTGCATTTCTCTAATCGCCAGTGACAATGAGCTTTTTTTCATGTTTGCTGGCCACAAAAATGTCTTCTTTTGAGAAGCGTCTGTTTCTTTGCCTTCTTTTTGATGGGGTTGTTTTATTCTTGTAAATTTGTTTAAGTTCCTCGTAGATTCTGGATATTAGGCCTTTGTCAGATGGGTAGATTGCAAAAATTTCTCCTGTTTTGTAGGTTGCCTGTTAACTCTTGAAGCAGGAGGGCTCACAAACAAACCTCTCTGAACACTGAACAGAGAAGGAAGTGGTAATTTTATTCAGCCAAGAGCTGTGGCAGGCATAGATGCCTCAACAACCAAGCTCCCCAACTAAAAAACTCTGTCCTCTTTTAAAGGCTCACAATCTTAGAGGATACATGTGAGAGGGTCATGATCGATGAGGTAAGCGAGGGGTACATGACTTAGGTGGGGGGTCTAATTGTGATTAAGCAAGAACAGTGCCTTCCAGGGAAAATTCCTCAATCCCACATCCATGATCTATAGAAAGGATTGTGGTTAGAAGTAGGGGATTTAATCTGTTAGACCTGGCCAGAGGCACCAACCAGTCCCTCCTCTGGCTGATTTTTAACTTCTCCTTTTGAGATGCAGTGTAGAAGGTTAAAGGGGAAATGGCCTTAGAAAACTTGAGAGAAAGG